TTTAGCCACTAATGAAAATTTCTAGATATTTTAGGCTTAGGTGGGGATTGAGCTAATCATTGTTTGTTTAGCCTTAATTTTATATAATTAAGCTTTGACGATAATCTTTCTTAATTTGGCCTAACTTTGTAGTAAAGATTTTAGTATGTCATTTTTCAGATTAAGATGACGATTTATTAGTGTTCGAGGAACGTTCGTAATTTCTTAGCCACTAATGAAATTTTATAGATTTTTAAGTTTAGGCATAGATTGAGCTAATCTTTGTTTGGTCTTAATTTTATATAATTAAGATTTGACAATACTCGTTGGCCTAATTTTATAGTAAAGATTTTAGAATGTCCTCTCTTGATTAAGATGATGATTTAGTAGTGTTCGAGTAATGTTTCATATTTTCTCAGCCACTAATGAAAGATTTTTAATCTTAGGCATAGATTGAGCTAATCTTTGTTTGGCCTTAATTTTATATAATTAAACTTTGACAATAGTCTTTGTTAATTTGGCCTAACTTTGTAGTCATTTTCCCATGACATAACAATCAATAATTCTAATAAGCTAACAGAAACAACCCAAGACAAATAACAAAAATCCATTTTTAACATTGTATTTCATGACATTGATTGTCACCTTGAAACAATGTTTTTCTCTTTTTTTAGAATATTATATGAAATTAATGTCATAAAATTAATTAATCATAAAATATTACGTAAAATCCTCAGTGCTATATTTATAAGCAATAAATTTTAAATAAATTTAAATTATGATTATATAATTACAGATAAAGTGTTTCATTTTTTATATCATGAAATTAAAAATATATTTGTTAGCTTTTTTTTCTTTTTACATTGAAATGCATCCTAACAAATATGAAAATTTCACATTTGAGACTCAACAATACCTATTGGAAGGGTGTGAATTTTCTTCTCTTAAAATAAAAAATAAAAAGGAAATTTCAACGGAAAACGTACTTGAAATTGAATGAAACTCGCTCCATCTTTCTTTCCACACAGCGTGTCTGGTCTGTTGTCTCACGGTATTGAGTTTCGAGTCAACGGAGCACACTCCTTCCTTGTGCATTTTAAAATAGAACACTTACCATCCGTCACCCGCAGTGAACGAAACCCGTCAGGTACACTGACATGCTTACGTCATTTTCACCAGGTGTCAATCTTTCATAGCCTCCATTTGTTCACTCCAAAAATTGCGCCAAATGAAAAACCATTTACCCTCCCTCCTTTGTCTTTATAAACTATAAGGTCCCCTCCAAAAGCCGCCCGACGTCTTAGAGTCAGAAAGCGTATTTTCTTTTCACCACAACGTTTTCTCATTGGTTTTTCTATTTTTTTTCTTTAAATTTTCAAAAATTTAAAACCAATGGAGGCTCTTCGCCTCACGCCACCTCATCCGCCGCTACTCCGCAACAAAGAGAGGGTCCCGACTACATCATTTACTGGGCGCCACATTACAAAGAATTGTATCCGCCCGTGGATCAGAGCCGCTGTGTCGAAACCGACGGCTGATATCCCTTCTCAGAACGTTGCTTCTCTCGATAACGCTGTCGTTTCGTCGTCGTCCAACTTCTGCTGTGGTTCCTTCTTCGCCGCCGAAGAAGGTGTCTGCTAATTCCCTGCGGTATCCGTCAGGTTACTTAGGCGCGGTACCGGAACGTTCAATGGATGAAGGAAACGGCGACGTAGTAAATGCGATGGAGTATTTAACGAATATTTTGTCGTCGAAGGTTTATGATGTGGCGATAGAGTCACCGTTACAGTTGGCGACTAAGTTGTCTGAACGATTGGGTAATCAAGTTTGGCTTAAGAGAGAAGACTTACAGCCTGTAAGAAAAGTTTTCATTTTTTGAAAGATTGAATTTTTTTTTCGGGGGATTATTTCATGATTCGGGGTCTTTTTTCCATTTAAAATTTGCAACCTTTGAGGTTCTAGTTTTTGGTTTTTAATTTGTATTTGGTGAGATGTCTTCTTGCTGTTGTTGTTTTTGTTTTTGGTTTTTGGGTTTTCATTTCTAATGATATTTGTTTCTATGATTGGTGGGGTGTTGGGAGATTAATACTGTTTATATTCTATGATTTTGCTTTACTTATTTTAAGCTTAACGGACTGGTTTTTTTTTAGCTTGGATTAAACCCTATTTGTTTTTTATTTATGTGCTCTGAGATGCATTGATGTTATGAGTAAATATTCACATGTTTTTTAGTTGAATTTAGTCTTTGTTTTTATAATCTGTTAATGAATTGCCAAAGCGGAAATCTTTTCTTTTTGTAGTTCAATATTGTTTTTCATATTCAGATAAAGTGCTTACAGATTTGATGTTTCATATTTTCAGGTTTTCTCTTTTAAGCTTCGTGGAGCTTATAATATGATGGCAAAGCTTCCGAAGGGACAGTTAGAAAGAGGGGTTGTTTGCTCATCAGCAGGAAATCATGCCCAAGGGGTCGCATTGGCTGCCAAGAGACTCGGTTGCAATGCTGTTATTGCTATGCCTGTTACCACACCAGAAATTAAGGTGCTATTTTGTGATGTTTCTTGTATCAATTGCATAGCACATAGGGTTTCTTAATTTGAATGGTGGGTTTCTTGTTTTGCAGTGGCAATCTGTTGAGAGGTTGGGGGCTACTGTTGTTCTCGTTGGAGATTCTTATGATGAGGCACAAGCATATGCTAAAAAACGGGCTAAAGAGGAAGGTCGAACATTTATTCCCCCTTTTGACCATCCAGATGTTATCATGGGACAAGGCACTGTTGGGATGGAGATTGTGCGTCAAATGCAAGGCCCATTGCATGCAATCTTTGTACCTATTGGTGGTGGTGGGCTTGTAGCTGGCATTGCTGCTTATGTTAAGAGGGTTTCCCCGAGGGTATGTGGGTCCTTCATATAAACATATACTATTTCTTGTTTGAAATTACATTGAATGTGCTTGTTCCTTGCCGCATGACATAATTCATCCACATCACTTAGTGTTGTATTACCATACAGGTGAAGATTATTGGAGTGGAGCCTTTTGATGCAAATGCAATGGCATTGTCGCTTCATCATGGCGAAAGAGTGATGTTGGACCAGGTTGGGGGTTTTGCAGATGGAGTAGCTGTTAAGGAAGTCGGTGTAGAAACGTTCCGCTTATGTAGGGAATTGGTGGATGGTGTCGTTCTTGTAAGCCGTGATGCTATTTGTGCCTCTATAAAGGTATGGCTTCTTTGCATTGAGCCATTTGTGCCTCTTAACATGCAGCTTAAGGTTGTCAATCTTTATTTTAGTTATTCGTTTCTGTCCTTGTATGGTACAGTTGTGAATTAAGCAAACAACTGAAATGCTGGCATGAAATACATAAAATTGTAATTTGAAACAAAGTGTCAAGTTTCTAGTTCAAATATAGTGTACCTTTGATTTAACTTGGATTCTAGATGTAGTATTTTAGGAATTGGAATGTGCCTTTGGTTCTTCATATGAAGGTAGTTCACTTCTGGTTAGTTTTGCTCGCAAATTGGGTGTTTAACTTGAATTTTAGATGCAGTTTTATGGTGTTCTATTTCCCATTTCGGGAAAGAGTGTGGCCTGTCCCCATCACCATTTGTTCTCTAATTATTTATTCTTAACCTTATGGATGTTAGAAGCCGTTCTTATGGTTTTTTCTCTCTCCTCGTGTTTGTCTCTCCAGTCTGACTAGTGCTATTGGTTTTTGTTGGATAACTGATGGCCTTCATCTAATTAACACATGGTTGTTTGAATGCTTAGGATTTACAGCTGTACTGCTTGTGTTGCAGGACATGTTTGAAGAGAAGAGAGCATTCTGGAACCAGCAGGTGCCTTAGCCCTTGCGGGAGCTGAAGTATATTGCAAATATTACAGCCTTAAGGGAAAGAATGTTGTAGCAATAACTAGCGGTGCAAACATGAATTTTGATAAGCTTAGAATGGTTACCGAACTGGCTAATGTGGGTAGACAACAGGAGGCAGTGCTTGCAACTGTTTTGCCAGAGGAGCCTGGGAGCTTCAAACAATTTTGTGAACTGGTATTTCTCTGCAATTTTTAAAATTTTCTTTTCTACAGATGGTCGGCTTTGTTCATTTGTATTGCTAAATAGTAAGTAATAACCATTAACCTTTGGGATTGACAGGTGGGGCATATTAATATCACCGAGTTCAAATATAGATGTAGTTCTGATAAAGAGGCCGTTGTCTTATACAGGTTAGTTGTCACTGTGTTTTTAATGACTAACAAAACAGAAAAAGCTCATGCATTTGTATTTTATTTTCATTATTATGGACACTCTCTATCTCTATCTCTCTCTCTCCATGGAATTTAGAATTATTCTTTTGCATGGCCATGCTTTATGTTAGTTTAATAGTTGCAGGGATGATTTGGTAGTCAGAAATATGTGAACTGAGAGCATTCCATTATCCATTGATGTTATTTGCAGTGTTGGTGTTCACACATTTTCTGAACTTGAAGCAATGAAGCAGAGGATGGAATCATCTCAACTTAGAACTTACAATCTTACAGCAAGTGATTTGGTTAAAGATCACTTGCGTTATTTGGTAATTATAATTATTATTCTTTTTTACTTGCTTTTTTTTTGGTTCTCATGTATGTGCTGACTTTGTTAATTCTTTATTTATCTCTTTCAGATGGGAGGGAGATCAAATGTTGAAAATGAGGTTCTTTGTCGGTTTGTTTTTCCTGAGAGGCCTGGTGCTTTGATGAAGTTCTTAGATGCTTTTAGTCCACGCTGGAATATTAGTTTGTTCCATTACCGGGGTCAGGTTAGCAACCAAGACATCTTTTAGAAAACTTTCATTTCTAATGGTTTGTGATTAAAACAAATTTTGACCCTGATTTATTCCATCCAACAGGGTGAAACAGGAGCAAATGTTTTGGTTGGAATTCAAATTGCAAAGAGTGAGATGGAGGAGTTCATCTCTCGTGCTGACAGTCTTGGATACGACTATGTATTGGTAACTGATGACAACAATTTTCAACTTTTGATGCATTAATTAGAGTCAGTTCCAATCTTTTAGCGCAAGCAGACTTGGGCACAATGCACCTCTTAAAGAAAGCCACGGGGCAGATGCAAAAGGTTCGTCCAGTCCTCCTTAATTACTACTGGAATAGCAGTACATGGCAATTTCTCATTCCTTTTTGTAATTTATGGAAGTAGACTGCATGTAGTACAATAAGAATGATTAGGGTTTTGGTTCCTGCTGCTTATCAGATAACTAGTTTTTCTTGCTATGTACTAATACTTTCAGACTTATGTATCAAATATATGAGCTTTGATGCTTTAAAGGTTGTGAAGTTCATATGTGAACTATTTTTATCTTGAAGCTGATTCTCAAAATCAGTTGAAAGCCTGTCATCTTCTAACTGTTGCCCTCGTACTTCTCTCGTAGTGCCGAATGCTTTAAAGATTCATTAACAAACATAATAAAACAAAAACAATTATGTTAGACAGTCTATTGTCTGAATGGAATGACATGGTAGGGTTCTTTTTTTTTTTTTCTTTTTTTTTTCACTTTAAGCTTTTATCATGGTAGCATTTCCTCTATTTTCAGAAACTTAAACTTGCTGATGGCCTGTATAAAACCTTGATTTTGGATGCCCTGAGACTACCTTCATGATTGCATTGGTTTATTCTGAAAGTCTGAAAATGCAGAAGCATTTTACATATGCTGTCGTCGGTGGTTGGCAATGTTACTCTTTTTAATCTACTGCTGATTTGTACTACTTTTACAAATATTAAGAAATAAAAAAGCAATAGTATTATCATTCTCATATTAACTTTAGACATGCTATAAAGTAACAAAACTTGAGGCAATAACAAGTATTGTAGAGGCCAACAGTCATGATAGAATGAGAAGCTAAACATAGGATAGATGGACTTTGTCAGATTATAACATTTGTAAAAGCGTTACTACATCAGAAGAGAAGTGAATGAAAGTAAGGCTTGTCAACCATGCATTGCTTTGAACATCTATGCATGGTTCAGTTGAATCAACTGGACAAAGATAACCTCAGACACTTATCAAGAAGGTGCTGTTTCCCAACCAGAATATTGAGTCAAAAGCAAAGGAACAAGAAATCTTCAGCTCCAACGGATTCTTTCATCCTATTTTGTCAAGAGGAGCGAAGAGTGAATGGACAACAGGTCCAAAATAGGGTTGGGTTGGAGAGTTTTTAAATAAGTAGTTTCGGAGTCATTTTTATTGCAGGTCTAAAAAGGGCATTGAATGTCTCTGTTGATTGAACTTTAAGCATTAAAAATGGGTTGTGGTCCTTGAATTAATAAGGTCACTGCTGCTTGCCTGCATGCTGCATTGCTGCTACATGGTTGCAGTTGTCTAGATACTGTCCAATGCAGTTAGTAAGATTGATAGTTTACCACTCCGTAGTAAAAAAAAAACCCCAATAATAATGGCACATCAACATTTGCATTTTTACAACCTCAATGACTGCAAAAAATGGAACTTGATTCCAATAGTTCCCAAGTAAGTTAAACCCAAGGTTGGAATATGTTAGTTTTACAAAAGTAGAAATAAATTTTTATTTTCAAAATTTACATTATTTATACACATTATAATGGATATTTACAGAGAAGAAACAACTTAAATGTTACTTAATTCTTTCCCTTGGGATTCATGCGGTCATGATTCTTGAAGAAGCCGCTAACTCTTGAACGTTATGCAAAATGTGGATGCATATCCGAACGGCACCCAAACTCTTTCTAAAATGTACTTTTTTTAAAGCTTTTTAACTAATTCTCTATTGTCACCTCCTCAAGCAAAATTTGGAAACTTGGACAAAATGATTCCACTTTTCTGAAGGCCTAATGGCAATAAATCATGGGCCTTATGGAGTCTTAAACATGCCTCTTCTCCTAGAAATAAGCACCTTTACTGGAACCATAATCTTGACATTTGTATCACTTTGACCATCATTCACCATGCCTCTCCCTCCTTAAATTCTCCTTCACACCCCCCATTCACTTCTCTTTTACACCTCTCCCTTTACTGTTGAGACATTGGGGAAAAAAAAGAAAAAAAGAAAATGAGAGTTTCAAGTAAGTTCTTGGCTTCCTTGGTTGTTCTGGTTTCTTCAGTGGCTAATGCAGACCCTCTTGTACCTGCACTCATCATCTTTGGGGACTCTGTTGTTGATGTTGGGAACAACAACAACCTCAATACACCTATCAAAGCAAATTTCCCACCATATGGAAGAGATTTTGTTACTCACAATCCAACTGGAAGATTCTGCAATGGAAAACTGGCCACAGACTTCACTGGTAATCTTTCTTGAGAACCCATACTTTTCTTTCATGAAGTTCTGACACCCTCTTCTCTCATGGTGCTGTTCATTCCTGCATGCACAGCCGAGTACCTCGGGTTCACTTCATACCCACCAGCTTACCTTAGTCGAGATGCCAGAGGAAATGCTCTCCTGACTGGAGCCAACTTTGCTTCAGCTGCTTCTGGTTTTTATGACAGAACTGCAAACCTATACGTAAACAACTAAGATCCAAACCCTCTCTTTCTCTCTCTGAAATTTGATTGTCTAACAGATGAATTTTTTTTGTTGATATATCTAGCGTGCCATTCCATTGACCCAACAGTTAAACTACTACAAGGAGTATCAAACGAAAGTGGTGAACATGGTAGGAGAAGCTAAAGCTAATAATATATTCTCAGGCACCATACATCTTTTGAGTGCAGGAAGCAGTGATTATATTCAGAACTACTATATCAATCCTTTAGTCAATAGAGTCTATACACCAGATCAGTTTTCCAACTTTCTCATAACCTCCTACTCTACTTTCATTCAGGTATCCTTTAGCATTCATTTATAGGCGCAATTATGTTTTGTGAAAATAATTATGAGGTACATGCAACTTTAACATATATCTTCTGCAATATCTGGACCATTTAATGAGAAATTCATGCTTGTTTTCAATTATGTTTGTATCTCTGACCTAAATCCAAGTTCTGGAAACCATGTTACTAGATATATTATACTGTTAACAGGAAAAAAGAAATGCATTTGTATGGGAGCTCAAACACATTTTTTACTGAAAAGAAAGAAAAGAGAAGCTGATAACTGTTTCATGTTTGTGACAGAATCTGTATGGACTAGGAGCAAGGAGGATTGGGGTGACAACCCTACCACCAACAGGCTGTTTGCCTGCAGCCATCACCCTATTTGGTGCTGGAAGTAACCAGTGTGTTGCAAGGTTAAACCAAGATGCTATTGCTTTCAACAATAAACTGAATAGCACAACCCAAAGCCTGCTGGACAAGATGCCTGGTCTCAAACTTGTCGTGTTTGACATATACCAGCCTCTCTTGGACATGGAGACGAGGCCCGCTGATCATGGTAAACCACCTATTGTGCAACAGAGCAGTTAAACAACACAATTAATCAACGTTTCAAATAAGTAGTAACTATTAAAATTTCTTTGAATACATACTCTGCTGTCAAAACTTTTAAGTGAATAGAATCAACTAGATTGGATTTTCCGACAGCAATTTTTAATTACCAAATTTCATTCTTTAACCAAGGAAAACCTAGCATTATGAGTATAAGGTAAGATTTTCTTTATAATAACAAGAAACGAATAAATTTGGGGTTGTCTCTGATCAACTTATGACATTATCTATATAAATTTCATAAAAACGTGGATACTTTCATTATTTTATTCAAGGCTCCATTATTCTGGATTTTCCAGATGAATGAGGAGACTCGTTAATATTGTGAATGTGGTGTTATTAATGCAGGTTTCTTTGAGTCAAGAAAAGCTTGCTGCGGAACAGGTACTCTAGAGACATCCCTGCTTTGCAATGCCAGGTCTGTCGGAACATGCTCCGATGCTACATCATATGTGTTTTGGGATGGATTCCATCCCTCCGAAGCTGCTAACCAGGTTTTGGCAGGTGATTTGCTAGCACAGGGGTTCTCCCTCATCTCTTGAAGCTATTTCCTTCATTGTCATAGAAAGTAAACAAAAGAAAACACTACCACCTGCTCTTGTAATCTTCTCATACGCAAAATATATTAGATATTACTAAAATATGAACTTCGTCAGTCTGACTGTTTTAGCAGGATAAGTTTAGTAGTTTCACATGTAAAACCTCCATAGTTATGCTTGTAGCATCTTGTGTCAGGGAAGTTTATGCATTGATCCTTGCCTCAATAAGATGATTATGATTGTTATAATTTAGTCAACTTGTTCCAAGTAAGGAAACCAAATGCAAATTGTTATATGATATAGTAGCATAAGCATAGTGAAAGACGTGCAAACTCTTTTACTCTGCCCTTACTAGCATACAACTGTTGGGTTGTCATTTATTGCATATTCCGACATAATCAAAATTTGCTATTGGTGAAATCATTTTCGGAGCTCTGCCCAAGTTATCTAAGTTCTTCCACAAGTAGGCTTCATTTTCTATAAATCAATTCTTCCAGTCATTTTCTTCCATTCCTATAACAATTCTCTGTTCATCCAAACAGTATCCATTATCTTTAAATTAACCATAAATTAACCATCAATAGACCAGATGACAATTGGAAGACGCTTAAGCTTTATCATGGATATTTTAATCCATTAAATATGTATTTGATACATAAAATTATAATAAAATAAAATAATATGATATTATGAATAAGATTAAATTAAATAATGTTATCTTATCTTGTGTTTAATATATACAAGGATTAAAATAAAATAATTTATTTATTGATCAAAATTATCCTTCCTTAAAGTATATACAATTCAAATTATTAATGTAATTTTTAAAGGTATAAAAACACAAATAAGTTCAATTCCACAGACTAAAATAATTTTCTTTACTTTGGGAAGATTGAATCATCCGATACCAAGAGGATAATTAATCTTCCTTATAATCCTGTTAATTTTTTTAGATACAAACTAAATATAATATATGATGATTATCATTTTATTTTATTCATTATCTTATATACTAAACATGACCTAAAATCCTTATAGTTGATATAAATAAATTTACATAATCAGGAAGTCAAACTCAAGTGGTACTAAAACTTCACCTGAACCGGTTAAATATCTGAGGACCCTAAGAAAGTTCAAATCCTGCATTAGAACTAATTGCATAACGAAGCTTTGCTTTCAGAGTACTTGACCTCTTGTATGTTGGAAGCTGTAACCACCCAATGGAGCAAGGAAACAGAGATGAAATTAGTTGAGATCCTCAATTCCCCCTCCCATATGCAGATATGAGATGATAAATCAGTTGTCTTAAAGTTTGATGTTGTAATGAAGCCTTTTAACAGAGTAGTTATTAGAGTGGAGGGGACCCATCCCCCATTTTGTACCTTGAGAGTGTTATAGCATGTAGAAGCTGATGGAAGCCGCTCCACATCTGAACCTCCAATTGTTGCCCAAAGTGGGGCATCACTTGCAACCTATACAAGATCAAGATTCCTGATTTAGTTTCAGTTGTTGACAAGATATTAAGATAGTCATGTAGCCATTTCTCTATATACAGTTCTCATTTATCCCTGTCCTTTACTATGATATTTTTTCTCTAAATCTTTGGGAATTTCTTTTTTTTTCTTCTTTTTTTCCTTCTTTTGTTTGTTGTGATCAATTTCACTAAATTGCTTATGTATCAACTGGGCAAACTTTTAACCGAGATAACAGCATACCTTATGAATTGTGAAAGATGGCTGCAAGTATTTGAACCCAAGTAAAGGAGCTCGAGAACAACTAGTCACAAATTTTAGCAGCATACAACGTTCTTTTGGCTCAAAATCCTTCATAACCTAAAATTAAGTTCAAAATAAAGACTATTTATGCAGCAGTTTCCACTTTCCATGATTAAAAAATTTTGAGGGACTAAAGACCAAAGATGAAAAAAATCAGTTAAACTTTAGTTACGCTAATACCTCCCAGAAAAGTTTAATAGTTCGACTTCCCTCAGAATAACCACCAGTATACCGTGTGTTATTTCTTAAATCATCAACATCAATATCATGGTCTCCACCAGAAAGTAACTGTATACAGCAATATGGGTCAGTGTTTTGTGCTGTTAGTCAAGCCTAACATTAAGTGATTAGTGACAAATCCATAGAAAAACATTTGCAATAAAAGACAGTAAAGCTAGTGCACAACTATGACTCTACAAAAACAATCTGGAATGAAAATACCTGATTAAATTCACTTGCATTAAATAACTTCAACCAAGAGGGAGATATAAGATCAGTTAAACCCCTATAAAATGCATTTGAAAAGGGCAGTATCTGCAGTTCAACATTGACAACATGATGAATTTGTGATACATAGATATATTTCTATAATATTTACAAAATAACTAGATAAAGACCTGTCGATTGAGTTTGTAATCTGCCATTGCATGAACATATTGCATCTTGTTGTCATTAGTCACACAAACATCCTTGCCACCAGGTTTAAGCTCGATAACATGCCTTTTACCAAAAGATTCTTCAGTGACTGTGAAATCTAGACAGAGCTCCTTAATATCACCATCATAGTTCTGCAGTTAAAACATCCAACAAAATTAAAAAGTTGGAGGATTTTCCTTTACATGTATAGATCTCAAACATCAAGACCTTGGCATAAAGGAAAAAAATAAATTACTAAATGTGTTACATTAAAGCAGATGGGAAAAGCAAATAATAGATCCTTAATCTCAAAGAATTTAGATCATGATGAAAGGTGATACTTCCAGAATCCTAGAAGAGTGATATAAGAAACAAGGAATGTAGGATCCTGAAGATGACATATTGCGCATGGTTTTGCAGACTTTCTCCCATGAGGAATATTTAAGTAATCATTGTGAACACAAAGATCGCCGAAACTTTCTGTTAGAAAATGAAAAAAACTTGAGCCTGGGTATGCTACCATAGTGATGGAGAAATACTGTAGAGAGAACAGATAAACATCAAATTCTCTTTTAGTTTTTTTTCTTTTCTTTTTTGAATAATTATATACAACCTGTTTTTCTTTTAATTAACCTCTTTCTTATTCTTTTATGTTCTCTGGTGATCAAATGATTGGTAAGGCTTAAAATACTCTCTCATCTTCTTTCTCCCTGTAGCTTATGGACAATCCATCCAATAATGAGTATGTAAAGAAAACAACAAAGTTTGTCCTTCAAAAAAGACAAAGAAATAAAGAAATATCATCTAGCTATCAAAGAAGCAAGCTACAGGAAATTGATGCCTTGGATTCTGTCCTTGTTGACTTGCTTAAAATAGCTAAAGAAATGCAGACGTCATAATACTTACTTCATCCTATCACACATAGGAGTCACTTTCAGGTTAACTTAAACACTTCACCCACCTTAATACCTTCCCATTAGCAGCATCTTGCTAATTCTTGCCCAACAATTAGCTCAATACGCAAAGCAGTCTTATCACCCAGAAAATGCATTTCTGTTAATCCTTCCAAATGTAACAGAAACATCAAGTGGCATACAAACTACACCACCTATAATGCTATTTGTATACTCGAAAAATAATTTAGCTATTTTAGGAGCGTCAACTTCAGAAAGGAATAAAACATGAAAAGGCAACATGCATGATCTTCATTGGGGCTAACCTTGACATACATAAGATTCCGATAGAGCTCTGGATCAAGTGTTGATAGTTCATCAAGAAAGCTATATTGGCCCAACAGCTTTTGCACAAAAACATGTGAAAAAGCGTAATCCAGTAATATTCCTTCATAGAGTGCTTTACCAACAACTCTTCCAAGAAATTCAATCATCTGGATACCATTCAGTAGATATCTTGCAGCTGCATTAGGTATTAGAAGTCTGTCTGCCGTTGATGTTTGGGAAAATAACCCATACCTTTAGATAGGCAAAAATAAATTAACTTAAAAAGTTAATAAATGAATACCACCTTTTTCAGCATAAACACCAATATGAACTTACTCGGGAGCAAAAGCTGCTTTAGATATATCAGTTAAAAATTCTTTAGATAATCCACCATAATCCAGACCAGCCTCTGGAAGGCCACATTCACTAACAAATGACACATGAATTGATGACTTCAACCTCGAGCCAAGTGAATTTAATTGTCGAAAGCCATCTTCAACTATATGACCTCGACGAATAACTATCTCAGCTGATCGTGAACCAGGTCCAGCCACTTCACCAGCCATTCTCCGAGAGACTTTATCCATATTGATAAACTCTCTAAACATTTGAACCCTGCCAAAGATACAAACTATGTCAACAAAAGGACTTTGGCTTAGTCAAATAAAATTAGGCTATTCTGTATCTATGTAATAGGAGGTTTGGATGATCATTTAATGTATGTCAGATGTTACTTCTCATTTGAGTGCGACAATATCATCAGCGCATATTTCTGGAGAGAGCTCATTCAAAATAGGAACTATTTACTTTTCATGATACGAAATTCTGGTGAACAAAAAAAGAAGTGCAGACCTAAATTACATGGTATAGGCATCAAATTTTTTATGATTTAATACCTTTCTTCAAATGGAAATACATGTGGCATAATGGTGATTACAGAACCCATATTGTGAACAACCATAGCATCCTCTGATCTGATGTTAGCTGATAGAACTTCATGAGTTCTGGCAGCTACTGCAATTGGAGGTCGGCTCCTTCTAGCTGGTGAAAGCCACAAAGCAGGGGGACAGAACTGGTGCCTGCAATCCCTTTCATACATAAGATGCAAGCATCTGATGGCAGAATCCAGAAGGGAACCATTCTGTTGGCCCAAACTAAAAGACAGGCCATTATAGACTAGTGTATTAAGCACTGATGCAATTCTTCGCTGTTGCTCCAGTGTGAATGGAACCTAAATCATGCACAAAATACTCCAATAAACAACAGAGACAAAGATTGAAAGCAAAGAGATCAGTAAATAAAAAGTTTACCTGTTTCTCATAAAACTCTATGTCGTCAAGAACTAATAGCAGATGAGAATAGGTGGCACAGAACAGATGAAGCAGACATGACATATCTTTAGAAATACCTTGAGGACCATGCCTCAAAGGCTCTATATCCCAAACATCAAGAGAATCACCATCAACCAGATGATCATCAGCTGAATCTGAAAAATCAACCTCTGCTTGTGATTTGCCAGTGAACTTCTGCAATACATTAACCCATTTATTGACTCCATCCTTATTGGCTTGTTTTGGTTTTTTATCAATTCCTTCTTTTTTCCTCCCTGAAACTTTGCTTGTACCATGATTAGCATCTCCAATGGTGTGACTATTCCCATGGAAAATGGAACTTTCTAGCACTCCCCAAAGGTTGCCAAGAAATCCAGGAGTGAAAGATAGCATATTCAGAACAGGCAACGGCCCAATCATGGGATTGAATGCTGCAAATATTCTAAGCATGTATGAGTAAAAATATGCAATATCAAGCAATTCCAAGTTCTCCAAAGATTCTGAGTTGTTTGCAGGTAGGATCTTGGCCTCATTCATATGAGCATATCTTTTTGATATTTCCAAAAGCCTTTTAAGATGCCATTGCTCACAAACAGGTCTAAATAGGTCCATGAAGGATGTCTTTAAGGATCCACAAGTTGTCTCGTTCTCCTGCACGCTGACAGGCAGTTCATAAGCTCCATCATTACCTTCAAGATTCTGATTCCCCTTTTCATTCCACCCAGCATTATGAAGCCATGCCAATAAGTTGTCTGCAAGAATGGTTACACCATGGACATAGGATACAAATTCTAGACCTTGGTTCAAGGCTCCAGAATCCAAAAAATCATTCTCACTCCCAGCAGTTAGGTCTA